CACATCGGACTTTACTCTCATCACCGTTAATTTTATTAGAATCCTATTATCGATTCAAAACTTAAGCCATACTATGCACCATGTACGTTTAGAATACAATCAAATCCACGTTGTCATATAACTTGTCCTAACTATAATAGAAGGATAAAAATATGTGATTTTTAAATATATCTAAAAATATATCTAATTAGGTAGAAAGCTCCGAAAGCTATACGTACAACGACATAATATTATATATGATCAATCGATTCATTCAAACTAGAATTTAAATCTAATACTGGTGAGTGGTGGTGATGTACTATGTATACGCCACGGCGATTATTAAATCATGTGATAACATTTCATTTTTTTAAAAAAACAAATATTTGTAGATCGTACATTTTTAAAATCCAACTAAAAATCTGAAAAACTAGTTATAGTGTTGTATAAGATATTGTGTATTATACAAAGAATTTTTTTTTTTCAATCACCATCGTTTTCCTGGATTTTCTTTGAGGAACTTATGACAGGCTGTCTTTATACGTATTTCATTTATCGACCAGTAGGTAACGTTGATATCCCCACAATGAATCCAAATGATAAGTAACTACTCCATTTTGGTGTATTCTAAAATACGCTGCAGTTCAAAGAACGTAAATTGTTATAATATTATACTACTCATACATAACTCACATGGATAAGTAGTTCCATTTGGGTATTGAAAGCTGAAGGGTGCTGCAAGGAGGGAATTTTCTTCTTTACAATTTTAAAAGTTTACTGACGAGCCATAGTTGGTGGTTAGATCGGCCAAATTTACTATCAGGATACTTACTTTAACTAGAACATTCATAACTTGCATTTTTAATAATTGTTTAATATAAATTAAATTTTTTTTTATAGATTAACTGGGATTCATTAAATGTATACCTCTATCATTTAGGCGTAAGTGTGTATTTTGTAGGTGTATATATTATTTTTCAAAAAGAAAAATAAATATTGGTACTTAATACCTATGGTAAATATTTAAAAATATCCAAATTGGTGTGTCTATTATAATAATACATTTTTAATCTATTGTATGTTATAATAACCTATATCCTCAGAGTCTGAAAAAATGTACAACTAATCTGCTTTCGCAGTCTTCCGCAAATTAATGCCACCTATAATACTATAGTAATTAGTAGTATAGTATAACGTCTGGTGGAAACGGTCTTGAAGCTTCAACAATGATGACGTAATCGTAATGTATATTAAGAAACACGAGACTCAGACGAGAGATGGTTTAACTGATTCCATCGTGCTCACTACGGGATTGTCTTAATTTCATACTCTTTTCGTGTACTTAAAAGTGAGAGTATAAATATATAAATCATAATATCGCGCTTATATTAATGTCGTCGTCGGGCGCTAGAGCCCTTCCAAGTTTTCCTCCCTTATATCATTATAATATTATAATGTATGATCCGTCGCGGGGCTTCGTTGAAAAATCACCTCGTCATCCACGCAAAACCTCCCTGCAGCGCTGTGGCAAGGCTGGATTTCGCTGGTGATGAATCGCGGAATTAATTATTTAAATGAGCCGCCATCCACCGCCAGTCGATAAATCTGCGTACACGCTCAGCCCTACTTCTCTGCAGCGACCACGTCACCCGTATATTATAATATATTAAAATAATATCGTAAATAATTTGTAGTTGACATTCGTCAGCCGCGATGATGTTTATATGCATTTATTATGTTGGTGTTAATTAATTTTCACGCTTTGATCGTACATATTATCAAGGCTTGGTTTCCTACAATCACGCTTCCGTGAATGCGTGGTGCGCGATAGTACGGGCACATCATCGTCCGTTTCCAATCGGTCGACAGTTAAACACTTGAAATAAATTATATAATTTAAATTATAATTATATCGAAAAAATGTTGTAGTATCGCTATAATATATTGAATCGTGCACAACGTTTGATGGAAATAATAAAGGTTATATCTGCCAGTAGTGCTACGTGAAGGAATCGTCTATGTGAAATGTTCGTGTCGCGGCCCGTACTGGCGGTTTCCCATTGGTATATAAATATTGTTATTATGATATATTATGACCTTTGACAGATTAATCTCGCGCACCGAAAAAATCCTTGAATACAATAATCATATCACGTTGATTTAATGTCCTATAAATCCTGTAGGGTTTGTTATTGAAAAAGCTCACGTGGCGTGACGGCGTGGTCATTTCCCAACACTATTGCCATTATTTTAATATATTATATATGTAGGTACACGTGATGAATTAGCTCGATAAATTGTATTCTGGCAGAAATAGTTTCAGTTGGTTTGTGACCATTGAAAATGATTTACGTCAACGGTGTTCTACCGCATGGTTCAATAAATTGTTTAAATTCCCTATAGGTACCTAAGAAATATGTATCATAAAAATACACACTATTATCTGCTTTTACATAGGTCTTCACGAATATGCATATTGAGTAGGTATAAATGTATAACATGGCGTGTTAGTGTAGTACATTTCAAAAAGTGCTATTTATTATTACGATCACTCGGATCACTGATAACCATCAACAACCGTTTGGTCCGGAATTATATGCGTTTAGCGGTGCATTTAAGTCTCTAAGCGCTACGTCATAGTTTAATAGGTACCATCCAATATATATATATATATATATATATATGAAAAAAGTAAACGATATATCACGACATGCCAGAGATGGATAATATTTTATTGTATAATATTTATATTCTAAAAAGTAATTCCGAACACACCAATTTATAACGCATTAAATGTTTTCAAATTCACTCATTTCTGATACGCACCGCTGGTAAATTAAATGTATTTCTATTGTTGTTCTTACTCGTACTCACGGCGTTTGCAGCATTGTATACGGAATACATTATACAGGTATAAATAATAATATATAAAAGCTGGCCGAGCTATAACACGTAGGTATATGATATACATCGCGTCTGTACGTCTCGCGCCAGTAATATAATATACACGGTACGCCGTCGGTGTTGTATCAATCACTTTGGACAGTCATGCCTACGGTCGAAAAATGATTAATAACAATAATGCTTGCACCCACAATTCGTATATTATGTTGCACACGTATATACTATATTATATTGTACGAAAGTGTATGAGTGTGTGCGCAACCGCAATTATTGCAGTATATAGGTAGGTGCCTATATATATGATACTGAACGCAGTCGTATTGCTACCGACCAGCAAAAAGGTCCAATATTTGGGTGGCCAGCAAAGAGGTAGGTTCACCCATTCATGTTTGGTTACCAGACAATAAATTGTAATGCCTGATTTCATTTTAAAAAGAAATACTCCACTAGGTAGGTACGCTGTTACGGTGCCGTTTGTGAGTCGTAGATGATCGATGATTGTGCGAATGATCGAATGAATGGACGAAGAAAAAATACCTTCATATCGAGATCGTATTACGGCTGGTGTGCATACCCATATATACCTATCTTTTATCGAGGGACGAGGATATATTTTACAGTTGGGTGACGAAAACTGCAGTTTGACAGTTATCGGTATAGTTGTCCGACCTACCTAGTTAAAAAAAAAAATAAAACACGTGTCTTGACATTATTATATTTTATATAACTACCTACGCATGTATACTCATAGGTACCTCGTGCTGCTTTGTGACATATTATTGGTAGGTATATACAGCTGCTCTTTTATTATTGTTTACGTGTTGTCGGTCCATTTGTTATTATATATTTTATGTGTTTTTTTTTCATTATTATTATTTTACGGACATTTCACCCTATTTTAAAGTAGCAAAAACTTGGTAAATAAGCCAAAAAACTAATCTGATAGGGTGAATTTTGTTCAAAAACACCTTTCTATGTGATATTGTTCCCATCAAAATCAATTATTTTACCGTGTGCAAAATGCAATTATCATTTATCACGAATGCAACTAAAGTGAATATATTATTTTCGGAAATACGTAAGTAGGTATTACGACATTAATACAACGAAATAATGGCTAGAGAGCATGATAAAAAAAATAGAAAACAAGAAACTTGAATTTTATAGTCATATTAAATTACGTACTTACACTATACAATAAAATTAATTGTATTAACGGTTAGATAAATTATTCATATTAAACCGGATGTTCTCTATAACATATCAGTATATATAAATTTATAAAAATAAAATATTGTTATCTATTACTTAGATTTTAGATTGGTATATAATAATATTTACTCTGTTACAGTTTTTATTGTTACAGATTCATTGATATATTTTGTATTCTGTGATCTTTTTCAAATGCTCAAATAGTAACACAAGGACATTTTTTTTTATTAAACTACTGCATTTGATGATAACACGCTCACAAACGTTTAGGATTTAGAATTGTATTAACTTAATTGTCATATTTGGTAAGTAATAACATATTGAAATATAATATATTTTATCATATTATTATATAGGTAGAACCAGGGCCGGACTGGGTGAACAATTTCTACCGGGAAAATAAAAAAAATCGGCCCACTTAGGTATACCTATAAAAACAACCTTAAAAACATATTTTTCCATATAAAATGATTATATATTATTTTGAGAATTTCAACACTTAATATTATTTTTAAAAATTAAAAAAATTAAAAATTAGTTAGTACAAAGAAATGTTATCATTTTTATTTAAAATACATATTATATTTAGACTCTAGAATAACTACACATTAAATATTAATTATACATATTAAGCATTTTGTTTAGGTTTGAGCTCTTTTGCGAAAGTGTGTCGATTATGATTTCATTATCCAACGCCATCAAAATATCAGATTCAGCTGACATAAGCATAAATGATTCTAAATGATCATGGCTCAATGAATTTCTTATTCTATTGAGAATATATTTCAATTTTGAAAACATTCTTTCACAAGCTACTTGTGTTGACGACATTGATAGAATGAATTTGTATGCAAAAAATAGTGTCTTGTAAGCTTCGCTGTACAGATTATAATATTTCAGTAGTACTATATAGCAACACAAAATACAATTTCGACACGCTTTAATTTTATTACATAATATTGACGATTTTTTTCAATTTCTAAATTAGAATTGTTAGTGATTTCTTTTAGTTCTAATTGCTGTTCTTCGTCAATAAAATTATCAAATTCGTACTCTTCATCAAGTGTTAATTTTAAGCGGTCCCATTTTGAAGAAAAGTCTTGTAGTTCATATAACAAGTTAGCTTTTGTTATACTCTCGTCGCGATATACTAAATGCTCAACTAATTTTGTAAATGCTTCTTCGGGAATTTTTTCATTGAATCTGCTAGGTTGTAAAAAAGCACAATCGGCGGGAAATTTACTATTGCTAAAATATCTTATTTCCATACTATTGATTAGTGTATCAAATGTAACATTATACACATCGACAACAAACTTTTGATAAGCAGTAGGTGGTATATATTCTTTATCAGAATCTCCATCCATTATTTTACTTTTACGTATTTTTATTTCCGGAAAATTATCTTGAACCGTTATTTCAATATTTTCATGATCGAAATAATTATTAGCCCAATTCGAAAATTATTTTGCTGCTTCGTAAACTATAAGGGAACTTCTTGAAAATTGCTTTAAACTTTCTAAAGTAGTTTCTACCATACGATTCGCTTGAAGAACATCTATATTCTGAGTTTGTAAATATTTAGATAGTGCAGAAGTATGAACAAAAATTTTAAGATACATATTAGCTGTGACAATTGTTTCAAATTTTGTAAAATTAGTAAACTTTAAAAAAAACGCACCTACAAGTACAAGTGGCCCAAATTAAACGAGCGGCCCACCGGGAAACTCCCGGTATCCCGCCTGCCCAGTCCGGCTCTGGGTAGAACGTACATTTGTATTTCAAATTATTTTAGATACCTATTAAATTATTTACTATATTAAACACAGTGGCAGGAATATATAATGATTTAATGTATTGTTATTTTGTTTGGGGTTTTAAAGTTTTAATATGTACATTTTGGGCTTTTGAGGTGATATTATCTTCTTTTAAGATGCTACAATTTTATAATATTAATTTTTTTTTTTTTTTTTTTTTTTTTTTTTTTTTATTAGGGTTGAGGCTTCGACAACATAGGTCATTAGCCTGTGGTACTGTAGGGGGAGAACTGTAGGTTGTTGACACGTTTGTGTGTTTTTGGCAGAATTTTCGCTTTGGGCAACCGTAGGTATCTGCCATGCCCGGGTGGTGGATGGCGGCACTTGTTCTCCGGACACCGTGACTTGCCCGAAGAAAAATGCCGACCATGGCTAAGGTATCGAACCAGCGACGGCTGTGTAGCAACCGACGCCTTAGTCCGCTCGGCCACTCCGTCCCCAATATTAATTATTACCTACATTTGAAAGCAATAATAAATCATTTCGATCGGAAAATAATGTTGGTTAATCAGATAGTATATTCAACTAATTTTTAAGTATTAGAAAAAAGAAAGAAACAAAAAATAAAATATGGGAAATAAATAAATTCCAAATTTATTGAATACATTAGGGATCAAAATTTTCGAAAAAAAAAGGTTTTCAGAAAAGAACCGGGGTTTTCCCGTTTTTTCGGAAAAATTGGGAAAATTTGGTTTCATTTAAAATTTTAGGAAAAAATGGTTTTGACGAAAAAACTAGTTTTTTTCCTGAAAAATTGAAAAATAATAATAAATAATTTATAATAATATAAAAAGATATTATCGTATGTTATGTTGTTACGTATTTTCTTAATTATTATTAATTAATATTGTCAATCGTGTGCTGTCTATAAATTTTATCTACAACTTACAAGTAATATTAATTATATAACATTTAAAAATACAGGTGATTTATTTTCGGGGAAATAGACTCTCCACATAAATGCCAATTTGATATGTATAACTACGTTATTTTTAGAACAAATATTGAAATATCCATATTAATATTTAATTTTAAATTTGAATACAAAAATACATTGATATAAGTAGATATATAACCGTAATGGCAAATGTCAAATGACAATGACAGGTTTCCATATCTATTTTTTAAAATGGTTTTTTTTTGCATAGATTATTTTAATTTTTAAGTGTAAATACAATTTTTTAATTTTCCAAAAGTTCGGTTTCTTTCGGAAATGTATTATTTTAATATTCTCCAATTTTTCCACGTTTTCCAAGGCTCTGGAGAAAAAGCTATTTTTTCGAAATTTTCCGGCATTTTGATCCCTAGAATATATTATAATTTACCTCATATCTGTCATAACTCATAATATGACTGTTATATGTGAAATTATGCATTCTAATTTCAAAAATAATTAAAAGTATTAAACACAACTGCATGTTACATTGATATAATATACTAACTCTAATATTTGGTATAGTATAATTTAATATAATATAATTTCTGTAAAATATAATTTATAATATATATAATATTATATTAAATATAATCTTTGTAAAATCGATAAATTTAGCTGTAATAAAAATTTAAGTTTTAAAAACAATTTAGTCATGATCTTATAGATATGTTTGTGTAACTGAGTTTATATACATAGTTACATACAGTTAAATTAACTTTTAAAACTAAATTTTAAAGTTTTCCATCGAGTTTTATTAGTATAGAATATAGTTACTATGATTAAGAGATTGGAATATTCTCACAGTTTGTAACAACACATAATGTAGTACGTGATTAACATTTGAATAACCATTTCATTATTTCAATAGCCCTATTAATAAATTATTATTATCAAAAGTAAACGCAATTAATCATTTACGGAGTACCTATATTAAATACAGTGAAAAAATTGTTGTATCATCATTATAATAATATCATGACTTATTTTGATTTCAATCTTATGGTAGGTAATTGTGTATGTTTATATTAGTATACAAAATAGTTATCATGTTATGGCTTTACAATGATTAAAGTTAATTATTACATAATTAAGATAAAATTATTAAATAAATAGGTAACAATTGATTTGTTAAAATAAAATAATTTTTTGGATGCGTATGATTTTTTTCAAATTATGTAATATAATTAAGAGGCTGTATATCGTATACATTGTTGATAATTTATACGTATTATAGTCTCTCCCGGATTCAGTACTTAGTCAGGTTAGGGTTCTACAGTGGTATACTGGGATGAGGTCCATTCAATTATTTGCATTTTAGGTAAATATTTTTCTTATTTTGTATTAAACAATATAAAGTGCAATGTATTTAAAATAGTTGGGTCCATAGAATATGTTTGAAGTACATCATATTGCTTATCCTATTTATTTTGCAAACTCTACATTTATAAATGTATACATTTTATTTTGCCTTGCTAATAATAAACCAGGGTTTGACCAATATGTTAATTTAATATTTTGGCAACATAAATATTATAATATAAAATACTCAATCACTAAATCAAAGCTTTAAAAGGAGAAATTTATTTGATTTATTACAAATATAATTAATGGAAATAAACATTACCAAACCTATTTTCAATAAGAAAAAAAAATGGAAATTCGTATACTACTTTCTACAGTTAGAAATGGTTTTTATGATGTAATTCCTCGATTATAATAATTACCGGATAAAACCAGATTTTTCGAAAAAAACACTAAATCACATTAAATGGGACAGTATACGATAAAGGTAAATTTTATAGTTTGATTCAAGTAATAACTACAGTCATATTATCCAATTATAAATATCCATATATAATATGCACAGTAAAAATAAATCATATGTGTCGGTATCAGCTTTATTATGTACGCATGAAATTTTTTTTTTTTAGAAAAAGTGAGATCATAAGTCAGTTGTGCCACTGAAACGGGTATTTAAAATTTGAATGTAATAATATTATAAATCATGTTGCCCAAAAATTATCAAAATTGCGTAAAAAAATTTCAGTTTGCTAACTTTTTTTCACTGATATTTTATGATTTTCCACGGTTCACTCAAATATTATTATCGAGTAATTCGAAAATTTACCTTTAAAGTATATCAGTTCTGTTAAATATTCACTATTTAATGGTAGGTACATGTAGTATGATTAGCTTAATGTATTTATTTACCAATATGATTTTTAAGCATTAATTAATACTAAATTTCTAGTTAAACACTAATAAATATAAAATAAACAATTTAGTTCGATAATTTATACCCATCATGGTTTATGGCAAAGCAACTAGACAAATAAATGTTTACATTTTTTGTTTTAATTAATATAAATCATTATAATTAAATTTATTTTACGAAATAATAATGAATATTAGTTTTATCGTTTGTGTATTTTTAGTTTACAATTACATATTTTTATTATTTTAACAAATATTATTTACACGAAACGCATTAGGAGGTACTTACCTACTAAAATGTGAGGCACAAATCGTCTACATTTTTTTATTGCTGTTTAGAATTCCAATTTTCTACTTTAAATTCGTATAATATTTATCTAAACTTTTAAAATGCAACTATCAACACGTGTTAAAAAATATAATTTCTTTAACAATGAACCTGTGGATGTTTTAACAGTACCTATATACTATACGGCATAATATTATTTCAAAATACAAACAGTTTGGATTGTTTGGAATAAATCGAAAACATTTTTAAATTTCCTAAAATATTAGATAAATTGCATATAATATATTAAAATATTTAGAAAGGTCCAAATGTATAACGGACGTTATAATTATTAATATAGTTAGGCCACATAATAATATTATTAATGATAATTATTTTTAATTCCAAAGAGCTTTCCACGGACCGTTCTCGATGAATCAGCTCAGCGGATGATAATAATATGTTATCATCCCTTTGTGTTCCCGTTTTGTTACTATATTATAATATTATACACACGGTGGTTATTAATGCGCTCGGCGTAACATGAACATGAAACGTTATACGCGTATATACACGTACACGCATATCCACTTCAAATACGGTATCCTCTTAACGAAGTTTACGATTATAATAGCCTATTATATCTGATTTTTTTTTTTCTGTTGTTGTGATATATGTACATCATATTATTATATTATACACACAACAGAAGTTTCAGATTTACCAGCGCGCACGCCCTCTCAATAAACAAGACAAGGGATTTCAGGCACTCCACGACACGTGACTTGCATAATTTCCACATCACCGGGTAGTAGTCCCCAGGGTATATATAATAATAATTATATATATATTCACACACGCACACAGACATACGCCACACTGAAGCAGTATATAGCTGTTGCGGACCGCCGTCAGATAATGAATATACAGTTTTATACACGTTTAATCACCCCCATTAACAGACTAAAATATTGTTGCGCCTCAGCGGCGGCGTACAAACCGCGTGTGTAATATATTATTATTATATTGGGTAGGTGTGTAGAGGAAAAAAGAGTTTATGTATATTATTGTATAATATTGCCTCCCATATAAATGCAGTCCTAGGTGACTGCAGACTATAACATGTGTGGC